TTGAATGGGCCACCAGAGTAGAACAAAAGAGATTTTAGACTTAACTACCGTAAGTTGTAAGGGGTTCTGTTAGTATAGTGAGTTACGAGTTGGGCTGTTAAATCTCAAGGTCAGCAGTTTGAATCTATCAGCTGCTCCACTGGAGAAAGATGAGGCTTTCTGCTCCTGTGAAGATTTACAGCCTCAGAAACCCTGTGCAGACAGGATCACTGTGAGTTGGAACAGAATCCACGGCATATAATCACCGCCGCCACCACCACCTTAACTTGTAAAGGCTACTAATAAAACACCATATTTTTCTAAACTCTTAAACACAGGAAAGAGATTTATACATGAAAAAAAAATAAGAGAGCATACTGAGAGATGAGTAAATTAACAGTTTCTGACTCTGACACTTTTCTTTTATGAAAATATTACCTGCAAGAAAAGTTTATCAAGACAAGCTTTTTACAATCTTCCTTAAATTCAATGAATGAATTGTGAAGGGTAAATTGGACCCATTATAACCTTACATTTCTTATGTAATATTCATAATCATAGTGTTACATAAAAGTCAGCATTAACAAAAGGAGAATTTAAATTCCCGTTTCCTTAGAGAATGGAGTTTTGCTTGACAAACAGAGCTTCCTGTCCCATTTGCAGCACACCCATGCATCTCCTTGAACGCCAATGAGACCTACACTCTCATATCAGTGATGTAATAAACCCTCCAAAACAGAGGGAGAAAATGAGGCAAACAAGCCCACTTCATTTCAACTTGTCAGATTTAAATAAAATCTTCTGAAGCTGAAAATGAGAAACTTGAGGGAAGATAATGTGTGAAGTACCTTAATTCATCATTGGAATAAATCACTCTGCCTTACTTTTTTGGTTTTTTTCCTCTAATTTGCCATAAAAGTTTTTGAAATTTCTCTCTTGATAATTTTAAATGAAATTCAGTCTTGCTAAAGAGGTATTAGATGAAAAAAGGCTTATTTTATTTATTTTTTTATCTCTCTTTCCACCCACTGCTGCCTGAAGAAATATCTCAAGTCTTCTTAAGGCTCTATAGTATCTTAATGACTAATCTGTGACCTTTGAAACTACTCTCAATGATCAATTTATAGCAGAGCATACTGGAAAAAAAAAGTAAATGCTTTTTATATTATTTTAATTCATTGCTTTTTCTATAACTGATTTTTATATACAGTATTCATGCATTGTCTTTGCCTTTATAAAATACTAAGGATAAAAATGCATTTGAATGTAGATAAATTATTTTTTTATAAAGGAGCTCTGATGGAGCAATGATAAAGCTCTAGTCATCTATCAGCAATGTATGGTTCAAATCATCTAGTGGCTCCACGAAAGGAAGGCCTTGTCATCAGCTCTCATAAAAATTGCCACCTAGAAAACACTGTGGGGGAATTCTACTCTCAGATGGGGTTGAGATAGACTCCATGATCCCCAACAACAATGTGTTCTTGTAAAAAGAAATATCTGCATATAAGAAAGTTAAAAAGATGCATAAGATGAATACATTCTTCTTGGATCAACTATCAACATTCACGGAAGCAGCAGTCAAGAAAACAAATGGTGTATTGCATTAGGCAAATCTGCTGCACAAGACCTTTTTAAAGTGTTGAAGAGCAAAGATGCCAGTTTGAGAACTAAGGTGTGCCTGACCCAA